TGCTGAAATGCAGAAACTGCAGATGGAACTTCCCTATATCATCGTGGGTACCCCTGGCCACGTGTCTGATATGCTCACTCAGAGATACCTGTCTCCCAAATACATCAAGATGTTTGTACTGGATGAAGCTAATGAAATGTTAAGCCATGGATTAAAGGACCTGACCTATGACATGTTCCAAAAGCTCAACAGCAACATCCAGGTGGTTTTGCTGTTAGCCACAAGGCTTTCTGATGTGCTTGAGGTGATCAAAAAATTCATGATGGACCCCGTTTGGATTCCTGTTAAGAAGAAAGAGTTGACCCTGGAGGGTATCCACCAATTCTACATCAATGTGGAACATGAGGAGTGGAAGCTGAGTACACTGTGTGACTTGTATGAAACCCTGACTGTCACCCAGGCAGTCATCTTCATCAACACTGGAAAGAAGGTGGATTGGCTGAGAAGATGCATGCTTGGGATTTCACCATCTCTGCCATGCATGGAGATATGGACCAAAGGAATGAAATGTGATCATGAGGGAGTTTTGTTCTGGCTCTAACAGAGTATTGATAACCACTGACCTGCAGCCAGAGGCATTTATGTGCAGCAAGTTTCTTTAGTTAATCAACAATAACCTTCCCACCAATAGGAAAAATTGTATCTACAGAATCAGTCAAGGTGGATGGTTTGACCACAAGGGTGTGGCTATTAACATGGTGACAGAAGAAGACAAGAGTACTCTTTAATAAACTGAGACCTTCTACAAGACCTTCATTGAGGAGATGGCCCTCAATGTTGTTGACCTCATCTGAGTGGCTATACTGCTACCTAGTCCCAGCCAGGATTCAATATTAGAAAACTGAGGAAGAGCAGGAGGGAGAAGGAAAGGGAGCCAAGGGATGGACCTCTTGTCACTTTCTTTCTTTGAATAAATGTCACTTTTTGAGGCAAAGAAAAAAGTAAGTAAAAGATCTGAAGAGGTCTTTCTCGAAAGAAGACATACGAATGGCAAACAGATATATGATAAGGTGTTCATTATTACTGATCATCAGAGAAAGGCAAATGAAAACTACAATGTGATATCATCTCATCACAGTTAAAATCCAAAAGAAAGGCAATAACAAATGCTGGAGAGGATGTGGAGGAAAGGGACCCTTGTATGCTGTTGGTGGGAATGTAAATTAGTATAGCCACTATGAAGAACAGTATGGAGGTTCCCCAAAAAACTAAAAATAGAGCTGCCATGTGATCCATCAATTATACTGTTAGGTATATACCCCAAAGAAAGGAAATGAGTACATTGAAAAGATATCTGCACTCCCATGTTTATTGCAGCACCATTCACAATAGCCAGAATTAGGAAACAACCTTTACTCATTTGTTAACAGATGAACGGATAAAGAATATGTGGTACATATACACAGTGGAATAGTATTCAGCCATAAAAAAAGAGTCCTGTCATCTGCAACAGCATGGATGGAACTCGAGGACATTATGTTAAGCAAAATAAACCAGGCACAGAAAGACAAACTTTCCATTGCCTCATGCATTTGTGGGAGCTAAAAATCAAAACAACTGAATTCATGATGACAGAGAATAAGATGATGTAAGTTACCAGAGGCTGGAAAGAAGGTGTGGGGGAGGTAAAAGCGGGTTGGCATGGTTAATGGGTACAAAACAGATGGAATAAATAAGATCTAGTCTTTGATAGTACAAGAGGGTGGCTACAGTCAACAACAATCTACTGTATATTTTTAAATAACTAAAGTATAATTGGAATGTCTGTAATATAAATAAATGATAAATGCCTGAGATGAATACCCCATTAACCCTGATGTGATTATTACACACTGTATGCCTATATCAAAATATCTCATGTACTCCATAAATACATTAATACATATCTACTAGGTGCCTGTAAAAAATAAAAATTAAAAAGGAGTCTTTACAAAAGACAAATATCCCCAAATCAAAATGGATGAAGTATATAGTTAGCAAGATAAGAAAATCAAATGGCCACTAAAGAGAAAAATGCAAAAATAAAAATAAATAAATAAAAATAATTCAAGGAGATGTGTAAAATTAAAAAAAAAAATTTTTAAAGAAAAACGAAAAAAAAAAAAAAAGGTGTCATTTTTAGCCATTAGATTGACAAACGTTGAAAAAGCCGTTTCCCCAGACCCTTAACAAATCTTAGTTTTGGGCCAGGCATGGTGACTCTCATGCCTGTAATCCTAGCATTTTAGGAGGCTGAGGTTGGCAGATTGCTTCAGCTCAAGAGTTCAAGACCAGTCTGGGCAACATGGCAAAACCCCATCTCTGCCAAAAATACAAAAATTAGCTGGGCATGGTGGTGCACACTGTGGTCCCAGTTACTTGGGAGGCTAAGGTGGGAGGATCACTTGAGCCCTAGAGGGAGAGGTTGCAGTGAGCCAAGATTGTGTCATTGCATTTCAGCCTGGGCAACAGTGAGATCCTGTCTCAAAAAATATACATAGTTTTGCAAATTTGGTACTATCAATGAGAACATAAATGTATATGAATCTTCTCAGTGCATTTGGGCAATCTGCATGAACATGTAATTTGGGCTTCTAGAAATTCACTCAAAGAGGTAATTATAAAAGGGCAAAAAGATGAAGGCACAAAGATATTCACTAAAGCAGGATTTATGAAAGAAATCATTGGAAGCAACTTACATGCCACCAATAGGCTTTATTAAATAAACAAAGGTCATTAAGGATAATGCAGGTTTATTACAGAAAGATGTTAATATTGCTAGGGAGAGAAATGTAGGTTATAAAGCAGCATATATAGTCTGATCTCGTTTATATGAAATTCAAAATTTCACATAAATGTATATATTTACAAAGATATTTCAGAAAAAAAGATTTTGGAAGGATATTTAGCAAAATGTATACAGTGATTATCTCAAGTAGAGGTAGATTTGGGATAATTTCCTTTAAACATGACCACATACATGTTTATCTTCATATTTACTTTTTACAGTGATCAGCTGAGGGTTTTTATCTCAGAATTATTTTTATGACTTTTTCAGCATTTTTTTGTCCTTTTTTTTCTTTGAGATGGAGTCTCACTCTGTCATCGAGGCTGGAGTGCAATGATGTGATCTCAGCTCACTGCAACCTCCGCCACCCAGGTTCAAGCGATTCTCCTGCCTCAGCCTCCTGAGTAGCTGGGACTAAAGGCATGCATCACCATGCCCAGCTAATTTTTGTATGTTTAATAGACAGACACGTTTCACCATATTGGCCAGGCTGGTCTTGAACTCCTGATTTCATGATCCGCACACCTCAGCCTCCCAAAGTTCTGGCATTACAGGCATAAACCACAGTGCCCGGCCATTTTTTCATAACCATCACTCTCAGAAAAATATTTTATACATGTCATTTTACAGAGTATGTTACCTACACCACAATGTGGTGAACACATTCACTCACTGAAAAAAAAAAAAAAACTGCCCTGATGCATCAAATAACTAGCATCACTAGAAAAATATTTCATACATGTATCTTTACATAGTATAATACATGTACCACAGTGTGACGAACATACTCTTTCACTGAAACAATCAGCATGATATTTCTGATTACTATAAGCTTAATTTTTTAACTTATAAATTTGGGGGAATTAGCAAAAGAATATTAAGAACAAATAAGAGCCCTCTATATTAAGTAACTTATTTTACAGGTTATATAGAGAGTGAGACTGATAGAAGTATAACTGACAAAGAAACCTAATAAACTGGACATAAAAGGAAGCCACTTGCCTTCCTCAGGTTAAGCTATAATTTGATTCCTCTACAAGGCACAGGAAGGACAAGTATTTTCACTCCACATTTTTTGTGCTGAGTAATATTACACAATAATACGTATCAAAAAGCCATTTTTCTGAAATGAAACATATCCTTGAAACATATCTACAGAATGTAACACAAACAAAATCTTTAACCCAAAACTTTATTTATTTATTTATTTATTGACTGATTGATTGATTGATTGAGACGGAGTTTTGCATTTGTCACCCAGGCTGGAGTGCAGTGGCTCACTGCAACCTCTGTCTCCTGGGTTCAAGCGATTCTCCTTCTTCAGCCTCCCAAGTAGCTGGGATTACAGGTGCCTGCCACCATACCATGACCAGTTAATTTTTGTATTTTTGGTAGAGATGGGGTTTTACCATGTTGGCCAGGCTGGTCTCGAACTCCTGATCTCAGGTGATCAGCCCGCCTCAGCCTCCCAAAGTGTTGGGATTACAGGCATGCGTCACCTCGCCCAGCCTCAAAACATTCTTCTATATAAATCTAGGAACACACCCAAAGTAAATAGCTCCAGAAAAGTTCCCTAGATTTTGCAGAAATGATAAACTCTATACAAAGCAATATATTTTCATGCCCTCATAAATTACCAAATGAGCCTCCCCAAAATAAGGGAAGCAGGGTCATACGAAGAGTCTTGTGCTAGCTTGCCCTCCACTTCTTTTGTGGAATTTTTTGGTTTATTTTTATTTTTATTTTTGCCCTCCACTTCCAAACAGGCTAAGTCACTTAAGATACAGAAGTAGATAAAGATCATTTTGTAAGACGCCATTCTTTAGCCACTAGGTTTCCCAGGTTTAGGATTTATAAGATCTATAAAACCACAGGGCTATGGAATGCAAATAAAATCTGACCCTAAATAATCTTTTCCTTTATCATTGCTGACATTCTTCAAAAACCTAGATCTTTTCTTTCAAAATAAAGAAAATTAGCAGGAGGCTCATCCATAACAGACTCCCAGGGTCTCACTGTTAATAAAATCGGTGCCATGAAACAATCAGTGTGCTTCAGGGGAAGAGTCCCTAAGTGGAAACACAATATACAAAAGGATGATCGACATTAAAATGTTTTCCTAATTGGAAGAAAAAAATCAACATCTATTTCAAGAGTTAAAAGGCTGCCTTTTATTGAACTGTCATGCTACCTCTCCAACAGACAGGCAGTGAAGACATTTTAAGAGCATTACCTTTAGGAGGAAAATATGACTTGCTTTCAGCTTTGTGAGGCCAGTCTACCACGAGAGGTCCAAACCTGCGAAAGCTGGCAGTGATCTCATCTACAAAACAAAGAAAGAATCTTAGCAAAAGAGAAAAAATAATTGCAATCAGAAGAGCACAAAACATGTCTTTTTAGTTTAAAAAATGTTTTTTTTTTTTTTGGGAGACAGAGTTTCGCTCGTTACCCAGGCTGGAGTGCAATGGCGTGATCTCGGCTCACCGCAACCTCCGCCTCCTGGGTTCAGGCAATTCTCCTGCCTCAGCCTCCTGAGTAGCTGGGATTACAGGCACGCGCCACCATGCCCAGCTAATTTTTTGTATTTTTAGTAAAGACGGGGTTTCACCATGTTGACCAGGATGGTCTCGATCTCTTGACCTCGTGATCCACCCGCCTCGGCCTCCCAAAGTGCTGGGATTACAGGCTTGAGCCACCGCGCCCGGCCTAAAAAATGTTTTGAAGGTGATTTTCTAAAGCATTTTTACAGAAGTGAAACCTGCTTCTGTAAGTGAAATACCATTGCTTAAGTATACATTTGGTTATTCACTTTTAACCATGCAAAGCGTGTTTCTAACTATAATTCATCTCCTTTCACTGCCAATAAACTTGACATAAAGAATTTGGAAGAAAAACATCTCATATTAACTAAGGTGACTTCTATGTCAAATAGAAAGATTCTAAAAACAGGAATGTTCTCTGATTTTAGAAGAAAAGGTACAGAAAATATTTAAAATATTTAAAATATGGTTTCACTTGTATGGAACCTCTAAGATTATTTTAGAAATAGATATGATTTTTTTTTTTTTAAATAAAGACAGGGTTTCACCATGTTGGTCAGGCTGGTCTTGAACTCACGACCTCAGGTGATCCGCCTGCCTTGGCCTCCAAAGTGCTTGGATTACAGGTGTGAGCCACCATGCCTGGCCTCGATATGACTCTTTTGGTGAGGAGTAAGGGCAACAATTGCCCCTTTCAATAGTTTCTTATCATACAATTGATAAGAAAATGTTGAAAGTCAATGATCTCTTTCTTTAATACCTACATACTACACACCCTATATAGAAAATATATCAAAAATTATAGATCAATACATTTATCTTTTCCTTCTGAAATCTGACTCAAAGCAGAGGTTATATTTGGCTCCTACTCAGGTTTAGGGTACCACACTCTCAGCCATGATCTTAAAAATTGTCTTAGGCTGGGCGCGGTGGCTCAAGCCTGTAATTCCAGCACTTTGGGAGGCCGAGGCGGGTGGATCACGAGGTCAAGAGATCGAGACCATCCTGGTCAACAAGGTGAAACCCTGTCTCTACTAAAAATACAAAAAAATTAGCTGGGCATGGTGGCTCGTGCCTGTAATCCCAGCTACTCAGGAGGCTGAGGCAGGAGAATTGCCTGAACTCAGGAGGCGGAAGAGGTGGTAAGCCGAGATCGCGCCATTGCACTCCAGCCTGGGTAACAAGAGCAAAACTCTGTGTCAAAAAAAAAAAAAAAAAAAAAAAGTTGTCTTAAAGAAATCTAATCAATAGATGAGATTCACATGAATAAAAGAACAATTTGGAGGAAAATAAGTGTTCAGCTATGTATAACTTTAATGTAGTTAGTCTAGTCTAAAATAAAACTACTTTTTGAGACTTTTCTCCTCTTATCATGAAAAAAGGAAATCATGAGTAACTAGAAGTGTGTCACAGCCAGAATAATGCTAGAAAAACAATACTGTAAGAATATCAGACAATATTTTTATATCCGACCCAAAGCCTGCTGGAACTAGTTGTTTTTTGCTTAAGTTAACTCTGTCACAATTTTATTCCATTCATCCTTTCAACAAATATTTATTGACAATTTACTGTGTGCTAAAATAAACTGCCTTTAGGCATAAGTGAACACTCACTTTTAGACTGACAGCATCTAAAAAACATTATTAAGAAAAACTCGAATTCATCTCCATTCTTTTAAAGAGGGGAATTATGCTTTTTGTTAATAGGTATTTGTTTTTATTTGTTTATTATGAAACAAGGTCTCACTCTGTCACCCAGGCTGGAGTTCAGTGGTGTGATCATAGCTAACTGTAACCTCAAACTCCTGGGCTCAAGTGATCTCTCACCTCAGTCTCCTGAGTAGCTCAGAGTACAGGCATGCACCACCATAGCCAGATAATCTTTTTATTTTGTAGAGACAGGGTCTTGCTATGTTGCCTAGGCTGGTCTTGAAGCCCTAGACTCAAGCAATCCTGCTACTTGGCCTGCCAAAGTACTGAGATTACAAGCATGAGCCACTGCACTGGCCAGTATTTATATTAAAATGTGAAATTATTTGGTGTGGTGGACATGAGCAAAAGCTCTGGAATCTAATTGAATTTGAGTTGTAACTACATCATCAGCTATGTAACCCTGAACAAATTATTTCTCTCTGATCCTCAGTTTTCTTATCTATAAAATGGAGATGATAGGATATCCACATAAGATAGCGATGAGGATTAAATGAGATAATGTAACATGAAGTACTTAGTACAATAACTGGTAATACTACTACTTTCTAATCTACCAAATAGTCTCACCTCCTATACGCTAAGATATAAATGTCCTAAAATTTACTTGGAGAGAAGAGGCAGGATCAGACAACACAAAGAACAAACTCAGCCTTTTGTAAAATCATTAATGAATGCATAGTACCTTCATCAATATCAGGAGGAAGGCCTCCAACAAACACCTTTCTAGAGTAGCGTTCTACTCGTTCCCCATTTTGACAGCGAGTGGGAGAACTTAAGCCAGATGACAAGGCCTGATCGCCGTGGCTGTCGTCCAGGAAGGCATCTTCAAAGGGAAAGAGAGAAGATCGACCTGAAACAAATGTGGGAGTTTCTATAATTAAAATGATTTTCTAGGACAATAAATGCTCTATTAGAAGCCGGAAGTACAGAAAGAAGCATTCGAAAAATGTGTCCTGAGCTATGGCTTTTCCAAGATTACCAGGACTGAAGATTGCCAGGTCTAGATACATTTTTTATCATTTTTGTATAAGGATATGCACATCCTTGGGATGACCAGATTACTATCTAAAGAAACACCGGTGGGGCATGGTGGCTGACGCCCGTAATCCCAACACTTTGGGAGGCCAAGGTGGGTACATCACCTGAGGTCAGGAGTGGTCAACAGGGCAAAACCCTGTCTCTACTAAAAATATAAAACTTAGCCGGGCGTGGTGATACACGCCTGCAATCCTAGCTACTCAGGAGGCTGACGCGGGAGAACTGCTTGAACCCGGGAGTTAGAGATTGCAGTGAGCCAAGACTGCACCACTGCACTCCAGCCTAAGCGACAAGAGTGAAACTCGGTTAAAAAAAAAAAAAAAAAAAAAGAGGAAGCATCAAAATTGCAGTGGTTTCCTTGCTAAATCGCTGCATTTTACTTATTCAGTCTCTATCACAGCTACTAGGAGTATATTCAGCAGCTATTTTTCCTTTAGTAATTTCTTAAAATAAATGAAGCAATCTCTATCCACAGATTTTTATCTGCTCTTTATGGTTATCTCAGAGGTTTAGTTCTAAAGAATGGTCCTGACAGCCAAGGGAATCAGGTGAAACTGGTGATAGAGGCTGATAACTTCTTTTCTAAGAGCAGAACTAAAGATCATCAAGTTTTCCTTATCATTCCAAGCTACTCTAATTGGGAAATAAACATATGCAATAATAAAGGACAGGGTAAGTAAATGAAAACATGTAACTTAAGATGTGAGAGTAGAAATGTAGAGGTGATTAGGAAACCCTTAACCCTACTAATCTACGCTATATTTTATGCCACTCAAAAAATATATGAAAATAAATGAAAAAAATTATTTTCATTGTTAATTTTATAGCCAAATAAAGTTTGTAGAGCAAAAGTACCTACCCAGTCCACATGACTAAAAGAAAGATACCAGCAGTTAGACTCAGCAGTAAATTTACCAGGAGTAAATATAACACAATAATGCCACTTGGCATTACAAAATAAAATCTAAATTTAAAATCAAATCTATTTCCTGTTTGAGTCAGTGACTTCCTAGTAAAACTTCCCACTAGGTTCCACTCTAAAAATGAACCATTAGAGCACTCTAACTTTTTGGGGGATAAAAGGAAAATTCCCCTCTAAAATAAATTCATATACTCTTAAAAAAAAAAAAAAGGCAGTGTTTTCTCCATTTAGTCTATCCTATCTGTATTTCCCTGAAACCTAGGTTTTGTGTCACAACAGCCAACTATTGAAAACAGAATATAAAAAGGGCTTAGAAAAATACTGAACATGTATTTACAAAAAAGTTAAAGTTATAAATATAACTGTGGCTATTTTGTGAACAACGCAGGTAGTGTAAGAAAGACACTGTTTTAACGTTAGGAGTTAAATAAAAAGACCAAAGAATTTTTTGTTCAGTTTTTCCCAGCTTAGCTACAAAGAAACAGAACAAAATCTGTCACCAGATTTTGGTGGCAGCAACAAACAATAGACAGTAAATCTTTGTCCCTTGATGTTTGTTTTGATCACTGGCAGTAAAAGAAATAGATTTGCAGCAACCATAGGCAAAAAGAGCTTTCCAAAGACATCCAGAGATGTTCTCCTACAGCTGACAGGTTCACTTTATTCCATAACCCACACTCAGTGAATTACATGCCTACTCAGTGTCAGGCATATGTGCAAATCAGCATTTCCCACTGAAAGTTCCTAACTCTCCCTCTCACCTTCAACACTAGTAACATTATATACTCAGAAAACAAGAGCTGGGGAAGGGAAAGCAAAATAATCTGGGAAAATAATTAATACTTTATTCCTTTCCACCTCAGAAAATAAAAGGCTACAAAAAGTTCTACAGTAAAGAAACATTAACTGGCCAGGCATGTTGGCTCACGCCTGCAGTCCCAGCACTTTGGAAGGCCAAGGCTGGCAGATCACTTGAGTCCAGGAGTTCAAGACCATCCTGGGCAACATGGTGAAACCCTGTCTACAAAAAATACAAAAATTAGGTGGGCATGGTGACACACATCTGTAGTCCCAGCTACTGGGGAGGCTGAGGTGGGAGGATCTCTTGAATCCAGGAGGTAGAGGTTGCAGTGAGCTCAGACTGTACCACTGCACACCAGCCTGGGTGACAGAGTGAGACAGACCCTGTCTCAAAAAAAAAAAAAAATTAACTTACTCCAGCATTACCCAGATGTTAAAGGAATTCTTTACCATACAAAACTCAGTGGAAAACACTTTAGAAAATATTCACCCACATTTCAGTGACACCGAACACATGAATCACAGTCTGGTGGGAGAGGCAGGCAAGTACATAAATAATTATAAAACAGAGAAAGAAATACTAAGAGAAGACTTTACCAAGTGACACAGCACAATTTACTCCCCTCCTGGAGAATGGCGAGAAGAGGCTCTTAGAGTATTTTTACAGGACGGCAAGTTTGAGCAGAATCTTGTCAGAGTGGGAGATTCTGAGGTAAAGAACAAAAAGCCACAGAGCAAGTACTGTCAAAACAGCTCTTGATCTTTCCCTCCGAAATTGCTCCTTCTCTAGTATTCCCTAAAATCTCAATAAAAATGCTGATTATCCACATTGGATTCAATCCAGAAACCTAGAACTCACCCTTGACATCTCCGTCTCTTATACTCCATGTCAAATCCATCTCGCACTAAGTCCTACCAACTCAAGCAGACTAGTCTGTTTAGTCTACTGACTTCTACCTCATACCCCACAATGCTTTCTCCACATAACAGCCAAAGGCAGTTTTCAAACATTAATTTGAGCATATAAGCATACTCCTCACCCTATCCTCAAAAGCTCTCAATGACTTTCCACTGCTTTCTGATAAAGTGCAAAAACGTAACTGTGAACTACAAGGCCTCCGCACACCTCTTCATCGCAGTTGCTGCCTCTCCCTCTTGCTCACTAACCGCCAGTCACACAGATGTCTTTCGTATTTCCTGATTATTCCTCCTTGCTCCAGACCCTAAGGACAATGTGTTCCCTCTACCTAAAACAAACATACCCTTTTCAACTCTCCAATTTCCTAATTAATTCCTATTAATTCTTCAGGTCTCAGCTGAAAAGTTTCCTCAAGTTGAACTTTCCTAAGCCTTTAGATTAGGGTAGATCCCCTTTTCTACCCATAGACAGCCCCCTGTACTTCTTTCTAACAATTTCCCCAACAACCCTTATACCATTTGGGTGGGTTTTTATTATGTATCTCTTTCCCTAACCCTATTAAATTGTAAACTCTATTTAATCTTGTTCACCACTGTATCTTCCTGCCCTAATTAGGTCACATAAAAAGCACACCAAAAATGTTAAATGTGAGGCAGCATCCAGGAAAGGAAAACAGTATGTGCAAAGGCATGTCACTGCAAATCTATGATGAAACACAATACACAGAAGTGAGAATGGCAAGAGATGTAACCATGTCCTAGAAAATTGAGACCTTTCCTATTGCTTTTATTTGCTCAAGCTTAAAGTTCTATATTACAAAATAGAAAATTATTTTCCCACTTTTTGAATTTAATATTTATTCTAATATTAAATTAGAATTAGAACCTCCGCCTCCCAGGTTCAAGGGATTCTCCTTTCTCAGCCATCCCAGTAGCTGGGATTATAGGCATGTGGCACCACACCCAGCTTATTTTTCTGTTGCCTCAGCCTCCCTGGTAGTTGAGATTATAGGAGTGTGTCACCACACCCAGTTTATTTTTCTATTTTTAGTAGAGAGAGTGTTTCATAGTGTTGGCCAGGCTGGTCTCCAGCTCCCAACCTCAAGTGATTGGCCTGCCTCGGCGTCCCAAAGTGCTGGGATTACAGGTGGGAGCCACTGTGCTTGGCCCTAATACTGGCTTTTTTTTTTTTTTTTTTTTTTTTTGAACTACACTAACTCCATAGAGACCATGATATTCTCACCTAATCCATTTTCTGTCCTGTCAGAATGACTTCTGTAAGATACCTATGGCCATGTTAGTCCTCTATCCAAAATCCTACCGTAACTTCTATTACGCCCATCAACATTTTGAACTCAGGGAGAGATGAGAGTCTGAAGAAATCTGTGACCAGCCAAAGGAGAGATAAGGAAGTGCTGAACCAGAACAATGAAAGAGAGAAGCAGATGCTGAAGACATTCTGAAACAAAAATAATTTTCTGTATGGCCAACATACCCACAGCTCAGAGTATTTTGGCAAAGAAAACAAAATCAAGAGTTGTAAAAATTTGGACAGTTTTATTAAGTGGTTATGGGTAATTAAGAAATTTCCCAAGGTTTTAAAACCAAATCTCTGTCTTAGTATTTAGAGTACTACAGCCTTCAGCAATAAAATAAAGTTGCCCTTGGAAATGAAAGTGCTAAGAACTAACACATAAATGATGTTTCTCTGTGGGTAAGAATTAAGAATACAGGTCTCAGAGCCCAGTCCCCAGATCTACTAATCTGAATCTGTGGGGTCAGGCTTGAAAATCTGTACTTTGCTCAAATTCCCGCAGTGATTCCTATGCTCGAGTTTAAGAATCACTGAAGTGGAGATTATTTGTCTGCTACAGGCGGCCACTGAAAGAGATATTTTGTGTGAAGTGTATGGAACCCTGGGAAATAGATCCAAGTTCAATCAAGTTAAGAAAAGTATATCCTCAACACTGGAATGTAAAATCTATAACCTTATCAACCTTACTGTAACATGACTGCCTGAAGTGCTGGCAGAACAGAAAGTCTGCAGAAAGCATTTAAAAGACAGAATTGCAGAGTAAGAGCTTGTAGTGTTCACCCAGAGCAGACAGACAGGAGACATGAGGACTTTATCATACTATGTAGGATTATTCCTCCAGGGGATAGAATGGTTC